TGTTCTGCCTGCATATATGCTTGCAGGCCAGAAGAGGGCACCAGATCACATTACAGATGGTTGTGAGCTATCACATGGTTGCTGGGAATTGAACTCAGGACCCCTGGAAGACCAGTGAGTACTCTTAACCTATGAGCCATCTCTCCAGCCCCCGGTCATGATGTTTTATACAGCACTAGAAAGCAAATGAAAACACCTACTGTTGCTGTTTGTGTGTGTGTGTGTCCTTTTTAAATTGGGGACCACATCATTCTGTTATACTAAGGGAGAAATAAATATGGACAGCAAGACATTTGGGGTATTAAGTCTGTGATGCTCCAAATCTGAAGTTTGACTGATAGAAAAATTTTAGGTTTGATATCTAAATTACACTTAGCTTCTCTGTACTTTTTGTCTATTCATCAATGACAATGTTGTCTTATGCTACACAGACGGATCAAGTCACAGATTTCTTAGAGTACCAACCCAGAGACTGGGGTAGAATGTCTCTTGGAATATGATGACATAATGTATGTACATGTTTGCTATAAAATACCACTGAAGTAACAGTTTAGTCACAGATACCAAAAGGACAAAGTGCTGCATGAATAAGGCTCACACGCCTTTGAATCTGTTATTCTCTCTGGAGTTGAATCCAACTTTTGGTGAGTGCTACTGGTAGAAATTATTATAACATGTTAAATTGCTTTAAAAGGCTGTAATAAGTTTTACCCTAAATTGTCACACCTCACTGAATAAATTGGAATCTCATTTGGACTTAACCCTGTAAGTGATCTGTTAGATATATGTCCTACTGCACTGAAGATTCCCAAGAACCCCCAAGGGGAAAGAAAGAAAGCCTGGAAGGACAGCATTGTCCACCACCACCCAGGCACCGACTGCAGGCAAAGCACTATTCATTTTTAAACCAATCAGAGAGAAAAGAGATCCAAGGTACACAATGGAGAGCCATCTCCTTTGGGTGCTGGCCCAGTGGGAAAGTGACTATCAGTTGAACCCCACGACTCTTGTGACTTCAGAAGCAATGTCTCACCTGGAGCGTGATGGCAGCTTTCTTGGTCATGGACTGATAGACACCATTGAATTCCACGTTGTGGTCCAGATCATACACTGGACACTAAAGCACATGAGAGATTAAAAAAAGAGAGTAAAAGCCCCTGTCATGTGATGTCACTCCATACGCATGTGACAGGGCTGTAGTACCTGGATCACAGGTGGGGGGAATCTTCTAATCTAGACACCATGGAAAATTTTCTACAGAACAGTCATGAAATGCTCCTCTTAAAGTGTGGACGTTGACCTAACATGCCAGAATCACTCTATATTGAAGAGAACTATAAAAAGATTGCCTTAAAGTATATAGCATTTCCTATTTTTTGTTAACATCTTGTGTTGCAGAAAGGACACAATCTAAATGTCATGACAACAATCTAAAACAAAACAAGTGGTAGGCTTGCTTTTATTTTATTTTTCTCCCTGAACTTCCAACTGGATGTTCTTTTTGTTGGTGAGATACTTCTCATCTCTCATCAATGTCAGCAACCATGGACTGCCCACTCGTGTACACAGATGTTATTATTTGGCATTTTGGGGGTGATAGATGGTAAGGGGATCACACACACACACACACACACACACACACACACACACACACACACACACAC